GTATCTGAAAAAAATCTTAGAATACGAAAACATTGGTGAATGTCACAAATTCTCCTAAATCACTCGTACGCACAACTAAAGAACAAATCTGTTCGTACGAACGGTTCTTGCATGAGGCCCATTGGTTTTAGCTTGTAGCATTACGCTAAACTGATGACAGAATTCATTGGATTTCAGCCTTTCATCAGCAGCAATGTTTCATAGAAAAGGCAAAGTTTGCAACAGCTGTGGATTTTTATTCCAGGAAAAAAAAAATGAAGATAAGATGAGTTATAACATGATTGTCTAGAAAATAGTTAGCAAGTTATTATAAATAAATATGTATATGCATCATAAATCTAAATTTTATTAATCAAAATGTACACAATATTAAAACTGTTTTCAGAATGTAATGTAACACACTTTTATAAATAAATATTTTCAGTTTTTTTCCCCCTTAAGTCGAGCACATTCCAGAAGTCTATCATTTGTCAAATGAGCTGACAGGACGGATCAGGCAGCCACACCCCTTTTAGCTTTTAGCTCATGTTCTCCTTTTGGTTTCTAGTTGGTGTTATTTTCATTTTAGCTTTTAGCTCGTGTTATGCTCCATTTTTCTTTTAGCTGATATTCTGCTATTTTATCTGTTAGCTTGAGTTCTGATCTTTTTAGCTCTTTGCTCATGTTCTGCTGCTTTTAGCTTGTGTTTCATTAGGCTTAATTCCTGTTCTGCTACTTGAGCTTCATAACACTCATAATCAGCAGATTTTAATTTTTAAATGTTGATTAAAAACCTTTTTAAGAGAATGAACCAAAGACACCACAAACTCAGAGCTCGACTCAGATCAGCCGAAGATTCGCGACCACAACAGCATCTGTCTCTGCAGATAAAATCTGTTCGTCTCTAAACTCGCTGTTTGTGCTTTCTTTGTGTCGTTTTCACTCTGAGAATCTGAAACATCGAAGCAAACAGCTGCTGTTTGATTTGAACACTTTAACCTCCTGTTTTATCTGCTCAGGTCTCATCAGACGGCAGCTCCTCGCTTCATAAATCCAGGTTAGAGGTGAGGCCTTCACTTGTCGTAGGAAACACGAACGTCGGTGTGATTTATTTGTTTTTAACTTTTATGTTTTCTCAGGGGGTTCAGGATGCACTCCAGAGAACGCTAATGTCCGTCCTGCAGCAGTCGCCCCACAGGAGAGTCGCCCTCGTCACGTTCAACGACGAGGTGCCCGAAATTACAAATGTCCATTAATCGTGCTGAGTCAGCATGTCTTCCTGCCTTTTCTAGCTAATGTTTTTTTTCCTTTGGCTTTAAGTCAGTGTTTCGTTTTGTTTATCTTAGCTTATCTAAGACAGCCTTTTGCTACTTTTGTCTTTAGGCAAGTGTTCTGCTATTTTAGCTAGCATTTAGCTCCTTTAGCTAGTGTTCTGCTATTTTTAGCTAGCATTTAGCTCCTTTAGCTAGTGTTCTGCTATTTTAGCTAGCATTTAGCTCCTTTAGTTTTTATCTAGTGTTCTGCTATTTTTAGCTAGCATTTAGCTCCTTTAGTTTTGATCTAGTATTCTGCTACTTTTAGCTAGCATTTAGCTGCTTTAGTTTTTATCTAGTGTTCTGCTATTTTTAGCTAGCATTTAGCTCCTTTAGCTAGTATTCTGCTATTTTTAGCTAGCATTTAGCTCCTTTAGCTAGTATTCTGCTATTTTTAGCTAGCATTTAGCTCCTTTAGCTAGTGTTCTGCTATTTTTAGCTAACATTTAGCTCCTTTAGCTAGTGTTCTGCTATTTTTAGCTAGCATTTAGCTCCTTTAGCTAGTGTTCTGCTATTTTTAGCTAGCATTTAGCTCCTTTAGCTAGTGTTCTGCTATTTTTGGCTAGCATTTAGCTCCTTTAGCTTTTAGCTTATTTTTGCTCATTTTGCCTATTGTTTTGCTTCTTTAAACTTTTAGCTTGTATTTTGCTACTCTTAGCTAGCATTTTGCTCATATACTATTACCTTATGTTCTGTTATTTTTAGCTACCATTTTGCTCTTTTAGATTGTAGCTATGGTTCTATTCCTTTAGCTAATGTAATTGCTAGTTTTCTGTTACTTTTAGCTAGCTTTTTTCTTCTTTTGTTTTTTGCTAGTTTTCGCCTCCTGTTTTGTTTCTTTAAACTTGCTGCTAGTGTTCTGCAACTCTTAGCTAACAATTTACTGCTTTAGCTATTAGCTAGACTTCTTTTAGCTAGCTTGTTGCTCATTTAGCTTTCAGCAAGTGTTCTGCTATTTTCAGTTTTACCTGTTCACTTTCAGTTTCTTCAGCAGACTTCAGCTCGTTCTCATTGCAGTTAATTTTTGGAAGCATTTTGCTCTTTTTCAGCTGATGTTGTACCCTTTGTTTATGTAGCAGCTGTAATGACGTTGTGTCTTCGCCTGTTGCAGGTGGTGATTTACGGTGACGGTACAGGAGCTCCTCTCACGCTCAGGGAGTGGGCGCTTCTGGACTACGATCACATCTGGCAACAGGCCGTCTCTTACAGAGTCCCTCACTGTGTCGCCGAAACGTTTCCTCAGCTCGTTCAGAGAGTCAAAGAGTCGGTTCCAGCAGCTGAAACACTTTAAAATCTTTAATTAGACTTATTTAATTAATGTTTTTCTGTCCTCACAGACTCAGGGAGCACGGAGCTACAGCTCTTGGTCCAGCAGTGTTAGCTTCCGTTGCCATGGCATCCAGGTACCCCGGGTCAAAGGTGAGGAATGACTCAGCAGAAATGGTTTCCTGAAGACTTGTTTTCTGTCTTGTTGAGGGTTTGTTGAAAAGTTGTCTTTTAGCTGTCGTGAAGTTTCCAGGAAACCCGTAGAGAACTCAAAATTAAACTAAGTTTTCTTCATATTTAAAGTAACAAACATCTTCCTGTTCCTCCCTCTGCCCTGAGAGATAAACGCTGACTCAGCAAATAGTCATCAAACTGATTTTTTCTTCTAAATCTTGTGGAGTTTTGTCAAACCAACAGTTTAATTTTCCTCAAAAAGAACGTTGTCGAATCACCATAAGTTTTAGATCTGTTTCTTCCTCTCTTTCATGTTTTAGACATTTTTGTGTTCACTTAGCCGTGGCGCCATCTTGAATAGGACTGATGGTTATTTGTAGATGTTCATTTTGCTTAGAGAGTTTCAGGAAATGCATCCAGTGGTTCATGAGATATTTTGCCAACAGACATGCATACAAATACACACAATCCAGGGGTGGGCCAGATCTGGTGTCAAGATGGCACTGTTAGCAAAGCAGGTGGTTGTTTTAAACCAGACGTGAGCCAGGCCTGGAAATTACGACACTGTTGTAAGATGACATGCCACAACTGGCCCAGTTGCAGTTTGGTTTATGTGACTTAAATTGGTCAGTGTTACAACTGGCCCAGTTGTGGTTTAGTTTGCGTGGCCCATATCTGATACCAACACAACTGGCCTGGTCGTAGTTTGGTTTATGTGAACTAAATTTGTCAGTGTCACAACTGGCCTATAGTTGTGGATTGAATTATGTGGTGCTGGCCCATGCATGGACAGCCTCAGACACAACAACATCTAGTACACTAAAGGGCCGTCATTCTTTGCGGTGTCTGGGCCAAGTGTTGGGAGTGTTTAATGTATTGGGTGGGCCAGAACTGGGCCAGACAATTGTTGTAATGTGGGAAGCTTTGTTTTAGATATCATACATGGACTTTATCTCTGTTTATGTAGAGGCAACCAATAGGTTTGTTGACTTCAGGAAGTGACTTCATGATAGGTTATTTTAGCTGCTTTAGAGAAAACGAGCACTGTTGTCATCAGCAAAGAAGCTACTGTTTCCCTTAAAAACTGCATAGTGTCAACAGGGCCTAAAGATCAAGTGGCTAAAGCAAAGCTAACTTTAGGAAATAGGGTTAATCTACAACTCAAACATCTGAACACTTCCTCTCTACATTAAAACAACTAGCATGATTAACTGAACAAGACTTGGGTTTTTGTGCCATTGTAGGTCATTCTGTGTACTGATGGCAGAGCCAACATCGGACTCGGTGAAATGGAACAAGCCCCCGCTCTGTCCTCCTTGAACCAGACGCCGTATTTCTACAGACAGCTGGCTTTGCAGGCCATGGAGAAAGAGTGAGGATGCATTTGATTCTGAGATGAATACAAAATTATGGTAATAATGTTTGAAATGCTGAATTAAAACCGTTCTTTTCAGGGTGATAATATCGATAATGAGCTTCAAAGGGTCAGACTGTCGCTTGGCGGACATCGGGACACTCGCTGACGCAACCGGAGGACGGGTGAAACACAAAATGCAACGTTTAAAAACAAATGTCCAGGGAAAAAAATATTTATACAAAACGTCTGAGCTTTTGGTTTCTCTCTCAGGTCAACATCGTCAGCATCGGTACTGTGGCAACAGAGATCCAGTCCATCTCCGTGGACAACGTCTTGGCAACGAGTGTCACTTTGACCATGCACGCTCCCGATGGAGTGTGAGTGGCAACATAAGTCAAAACCAGAAGTTTATGTTATTTCATTGTGAAATTTTTACATCAATCAACCTTAAATTACCACTACTCTGGTAGATGAAGTTGAAAAGAAAGTAAATATTCTGTCTTTGATGTTGGACTGGGTTCCAAAGAAGAAGAACCACAGATGAAACCTTAGATCTTCCTCTTCATTTGTGAGTTCTGCCATCCTAAACATGGTTGTTGACGTGTTAGACCCTGTCCTGACAAAGCGTAAACTGCTCTTTTAACGGTTCCACAAAGGTTTTTGAGGAGCACAAATACAGGTTTGATGTGTTGACTTGGTTTCCAAATCTTTTGGTACAAAATGCGACCAAACATTTAGTGGAGTCATTGGAAAAATAAGTCCAATCCAGGTTCACCCCACAGTCCAACTCAACAACTTAAAGAACATAAAGAACTTGCCACCCATGGCTTCATGGCAAAAACCACAACAGAACCTCTAAGATCCAGGAAACCCAACTCTAGACTCGGGATCTCCAAAAAAGACAAACCTTCCAAGGGTAGAACCAAAGCAGGGGCGTGTTCTCAGTGGAGTGTTTTTGGGGTCACAAACAGGATCTTGTGGAGAGTTAAGTGTCTGGTTTGGGGACCTTTGGATCTCGTCCCTACTTTTTGCAGACAGTGTGGTTCCGTTAGTGAGTTTGAAAGAACTGAGATGAACGTCGGCTCCTTTAAGTCCGAGGCCATGGTTCTCAACCGAAAACGGGTGGAACCCCGCATGTTGGTTGGGGTCTTTGAAGTATCTAGGTATCTTCTTCACGAGTGATGGCGAAGAAGTTGGATCCATGAGTTGAATCAAAAGGTAAAGCTTTGGATTTATCTGTCTATGTTCCAACTCCCACCTGTGGTCATGAGGTCTGGATCGGGACCAAAAGAACCAGATCCTGGATACAAATGGCTGACATGATCTTCCTTCATAGGGTGGCCAAGCATGGACTTAAAGAAAGGGTGAAGCACTCTGCTCCTCCCTTTAAAAAGAGTCAGTTGAGGTGGTTCATCTCATTAGGACGCCTCCCTTTGAAGGTTTTCCCAGCTTGTCCCACTGGGAGGAGACCCTGGGACAGACCCAAAACTCTCTGGAAAGATTGGGGTCACACACACATTGGGGTCCCCAGGAGAAGCTCTGAGTAGAGGGAGGTCTTGGTTTCTCTCCTGGATCTAAACTTTGCCTGTTTCTGTAGATATTTTCCCTTTGAAGAAGAGAACAATCACACACTGGTGAAGGAGATCGGAAACGTGACGAAGGGGCTCGAGATCACCTTCCAGTTCGCTGTCAAACCAGATTTCAAGGAAAGTAAGTTTTTCGTACTCTCCCAGAAATGACTCGCCACATCGATTCATGACAGACAAACACGGAAGTGATTTATAGGACAATAAACTAATTTGAGTTAATATATGTTTGTTGGCCAGTTTTTCTCCTGAGGAGCTCAGTTCCATTTCAGCTGAAACTGAGCTTCAAGACCAGAGACCAGCAGAGAGTCACTCGTGTTCTCACAGAGCAGCGACCCGTAACAACCAGCAGGTAAAAAGGGTTTTACAGTAAAACCTTACTCCTTCTTACATGAGCTTTAGCTGCTTTCTTTATAATCAACTCACTGACTTCATTCTGTCTGTTTTTGGTCTGAAGTTGGATTCGTCCAAGCCAACTCAACATGGCGGTCCTCGGCGTTCACTGCGCTCAGCTCTGTGCCAGTTTAACCATGGAGGGCCGGATACAAGAAGCACAGAAGCAGCTAAAAGCACAACAAGACCTGCTCAGACGGATCAGGTCTGAGACTCACAACTACTTATCATCTCAGACCCAAACTACTAAGATTTGGTGCAAATATTGCTCCAGCTGTTCACTCCAAATATGGATCATAAATACATTTACTAACATATAAAACTGGTCTTAAGTTAAAGATAGATGTTAACGTTTGGTTATAGTTTATTGTCTCTGTTTCTTCATGCCAACCCAGTAAATTGAGGCCAATCAAAAAGAACGAGAGCATCTACGGGAACTGGATGGAAGCCATGACGACAATCTGCCACGACACAACAGAATCTCAGGTATTTTATTTGTTTTATAAAAAGCTGGTAATAAACTCATTTTAGTGTGTGTAAAATACAAACAGAAGAAACTATTTGAAATTATTTTGCTTTTGACTATTTTTATTTTCTTTACATCTAGTGGTGTATTTACAGATGTAGTACAGCAAGTTAATACATTATATAGTCGTAGTATACGGCAAGCTAATACATTATATGAAGTTGTAGTATGGCAAGCAAATATATAAAGCTGTAGTATAACAAGTTTGCCAAAATATTCAAATCAGATATCTAAAGCTCAATTCTTACTTGTCAATAAATAAAATTTGAATCCTATCCTAAATGTCAAACATGTAAGTATTAATGATTTTTCATTTCAAATTAAATGATTTTTAAATCTCTTCAGTTTTTCCTGATTAGTCATGAATAATCAAAATGTAAATCTTTACTAAAAGTTGTGTTACTTTGTATTTTTTTTTTCACTAGAAAATATAATTTTCAATCAAAAGAATCCTAACAAGGTCCAAAGAATATTTAGAGTTCGTGGTTTGGATAAATTTTGCAACAGCTTGCCATACACCATATAAATATGTCTTAATTTAATAGCAACCATTTAATGGGTGAGATATTTTTTTCTTTATTTAGGACTTGTACATAATTTCCCCAATAACTGCACTAATTTATGTTAAAGTCAAGCAGCTGCTCTTACCGATCTGATTTCTAATTTTAGAAAGGAGGTATTATTTTTTTAATACTTCCAAAGCTAAAACCAAATCTGCAGCACATTTTTTTTGTAAGAGTCAATGTCTCCTGGGCTGTGTGGGTTCATCAGTAATCTGAAAGGCGTTTCATTTTCTGGGAAGAAATATTTAAATGTTCAGCCTGGAGCTAAAGTCTGTTTCAGCTGATAAAAATCATCTTGTTTTCCTTCAGGTTTTGTCCGATGAAGCAGCTGAAGTGGTGTACCACATGAAGAGAGCCAGCAGTAACAACTACACACCGATCCAGAAAATAACTAAATAAAGTCATCCACAGACGGATGGTTGAACATCTGCCGTGAGTTCACATCAAGTGTTTTAGTTTAGGCCGTCAGTTCAGATGGTCGGGTTATAGCTGAGAAATTAAGAAGTTTATACATTAAATGTAGCACATTTTTATGTCAAATAAATAAATAAATAAATCCTTTTTGTCTTTATAGTGTTTTTATGATGTTTAAGGTGAGAATAAACCAGCTTTCCAATGATGTAGGATTTATCACCAAGAATGACAAAAAAATAATCAACTAAATATAAATTTCCTTATATTTTGTACTGTTGATTACCATCAGTGGGACCACCTCTGTAATAAAAGCACTTTAAACCTTAGAGAAGCTGCTGTTGCCTATTTGTCTGGCAAAGGTTAAAGGTCATTTAAAACCAATTTGGCATCCATCGTTCTTCAGATTCAAACACGAAACACTTAAAACAGCTGCCAGTCTTCCAGCAAATCAACTTCCCAGGCAGAAAATTTCTTTAATTGTTTTAAATCCATCAGCTCTTTGTTTTTAAGTTTAATAAAATGACACATTTTGGCGCCAACAAGTGGCCAATAATAAAAAAAAAAAACGGCTTGAGCTGAACTTGGTGACCTGCTGTTTCTTTCATCGCAGTCATATTTAGACACACCGGAGGAAACCAGTTCCGTCTCGAAAACAAATGTGTCACAGTTAAATACCAGAAATGTAGGAACAGGAACATTTATCAGCTTTTCTGTGAATCACCGAAGCGGCAGTGAGGAATGTTGCAGAGAATCAAACCCTGCTGGTACTGATCTGCACATAGATACATATTTATACATATTTTTACAGCAGTGAAGATAAGCACCCCACCCCCACAACCCAGCTATGAAAAGTACAGTAGGTAAAGAAAATGGAGGGAAATTTACCTCAAGCACCATAAAAAAGCAGCTAAAAACACAACAAAAGTAAAATAAGACTGATGTTTTTCATGCATTATAGTCAAAATCATCTATGAATTGCATCTTTCACTGGTATTTAATGTAAAAACTGACATTTTAATGGAAAATATTGGGGAATTTGTTTAAATTCTTAACTGGAAGGAGTGAATTAAAGTCTTTCATGTATAAAAAAGTTAACTATTTTACAAATTTGGGTTGAGGCAGTGGTTATATTCCACCCGTGCATGTGCAGGTTTTCTCCGGGTACTCTGATTTCCACCCAAAGACCAAAAAACATGCATGTTAAGACTCATTGGTGACTAAATTGTCCTTATTTGTGAGTGAGAGCATGAATGTTTCATTTGTCTCTATGTGTCCCTGTGATGAACTTGTTCATAGTGTCCCTGCTGGAGACAGATACCAGCTCACCTGAAAAGAAATAATGGATAAAGAAATGGTTGCATGTTTGGTTGAAGTTGTTAAAAATTGCTAAATCAGCATATAAACAAGAAAGAATGGCTCTTCAACATAAATCTATCAGTTTAGGACATTTAGTACAAACAATTTCTGTCCCTAGAAATAAACAAACTTTTCCCTAAGAACATAAAAATAAAAAACTCATACTCAGAAAATGAATCAGGTCAAGGTTCGGTACAATGTTCACACCCACAGTATTTTGGTACACCGTGTCTTAAAGTCTGCTTATCTTGTTACGAGGACGGCGCTTCATCACCAGAAAGGCGTGTGAAACCTGACTGATTCTTGTGCCAACAAATAAACAAACAAAACAAAGAGCAAACAGAGCACCTGGAAGGAAGTCAAATAAATCAGATGTTCGTCTGCATAGAAGGAAATCGTCCCTCGGTTCCAGTGATCGTTCAGTCAGATAGGTGAAAACAAAACTATAGATAGAAGATAAAACAAATAACTAATTATTTGTGGACGTTAAACCTTTAACACGTAGAGCTCATTGTTCAATGTTTGTAAATAATGTTTTCATGGTAAACATTTGAAACTCAGTCGCCCAAAACAATTGTAGCTTGTTTGTCTTTCATTTTGTTTATCGTTTCTTTTCATTCAGTCATTTTCAGCATCTGATAAGTTTTATGAGGACAAAGTTCATTCATTTGTCCAATAATTCATCCATTCATCCATCCATCCATCCATCCGTCTGTCCATCCATCCATCCATCTTTCTGTCCATCCATCCATCCAATCATCCATCCGTCCATCCATCCAATCATCCATCCGTCCATCCATCCACCCATCTGTCTGTCTGTTCATCCATCCATCATCCATCCAATCATCCATCCATCCATCATCCATCCATCCATCCATCTGTCTGTCCGTTCATCCATCCATCCATCCATCCATCTGTCTGTCTGTTCATCCATCCATCCATCCATCTGTCCATCCATCCATCCATCCCTCTGTCCGTCCGTCTGTCCGTTCATCCATCCATCCATCCCTCTGTCCGTCCGTCTGTCCGTTTATCCATCCATCCATCCATCCATCTGTCCATTCATCCATCCATCCATCCATCCATCCGTCTGTCC